CAGAGCAGCCTGCCCTCGGGAGGAGCTGCTGGAGCCTGTTCTGGAGCACATCTGCCTGCTACTGCCCACGAGGCCCCAGCCAGCCACCATGTACTGCCTGCAGTGGTTGCTACCTGTCCTGCTCATACCCAAGCCCCTGAACCCAGCCTTGTGGTTCAGTCACTCAATGTTCATGGGATTCTACCTGCTCAGTTTTCTCCTGGAACGGAAACCTTGCACAATTTGTGCCTTGGTCTTCCTGGCAGCTCTATTCCTCATCTGCTACAGCTGCTGGGGGAACTGCTTCTTGTACCACTGCACAGGATCCCAGTTACCAGAATCAGCTCACGACCCCAGCATAGTGGGCACCTAGAAAATCATAATCTTCCAGTCTGCTGAGGGCTCTTGTTTTGATTTTTAAAAAAGGGGTGGGCCTGGGGAGGAGGGGGGTGTTGGGTGTGGGACTGGAGTAAGGACAACCTATTTCCTGTAACTGTGCGTGGACTGGAGTGGCAGATTCTTCCCTCTCTGCCTGTGAAATCGACTCGTTTACTGTGTGAACTCTGGCAGCACCACCTGCTTTTTTAGGAGCAGAAGTCTTTCTTTTTCTTTCCCGTATCACCGGGAGCAGACACCAGCCCTCAACTGAGAACTGCTGGAAGCCTGAGCTGCTGGCCCCTGCCCAGCTGGGCGTGCTGGGGTTGTGTGTCACTTGTCTGCATTAGGCCATGATGGTCTAACTCAGGGCTCTTGGCCCTCTGATCCTGCTTGAATAGCTACAGGATTCTCTCAGTCTCTGTTTGTGGGGAGCCAGCCTTCCCACCTTGCTGATCAAGGGAGAGTGCAACAGCTCACAAATGGACTTGGCCAAAAGCTGCTGGAGCCAGAGGCAGTTGAGTCATCTCCTCCTGCTCAGCCTGCCAAAGAGATGTGTGCACTGCCCAAGTGCTTTCTGAACTCTTTGCTCTGAGATCCCAGCCTGAAAGCCTCACTTTGCTGCTGCTTTTATAAAGCCTCACAGGCAGTAGAGACTCTCTTCCCTCCTCCTCCATGTCCTGGCTTTACCAAGGTATTGACCATTGGGAGAAAGAACCAGCATGCTGCAAGATATAGGGTTTTGGAAGCCACTGTGAACTTTACCCTACAGAACTCATGTTACCCCAAAAGGCTGGGTGTGGGCAGGGCAGGAGGGGATCCATGAGGTGGGGGCATGGCTTGAAGCAGTAAATGCTTCAGCCATTTTCAGAGATAATGGGTTTGGGCCAGAGGTGACAGAAGGTGCTGGTGCTACTGACTAGAGAAGGGCAGAGGCTGGAAAATGCCTGGTGTCTCCAGCTTCCCTGGCAGAAGGATGTCAAGAATCCAGGGTGATGGTGGGTCTGGCCTACAGCCTGGGGCAGAGGTTGGTTTGTGAGAAGCCTTAGAGGTTGGCACAAAACACTTACCTTTAAGCTTTGAAGGTTTCCCTCTCCTTTGCCATCTGCTTGTCTTTCCTTCAGTCTTCTGGTGGAGAGCAGCAGAAGTGGCTGTTGCTGTCATGAGGCAGTTCAAGCTATGAGGTTGTGAAACTTCCAGAGTATTGTTTGTTCATTGCACAGCTGTTCAAAATGTTTAATAAAGCTTTATAAACTTTGGTCTATGGCCTCCTGCCCAGCATGATGCATTGGCTGCTCATTGTGGATGCCTTAGCCCAGCAATCACGTGTCCCTGCATTGTTCTGTTCCCAGCACAGCAACCCCCAGCAAGAGGCAGAGCCTGTTTGCCCTGTAGCTCCCAGTACTGACTCTTGATTGTTTGGGCAGACTGGGAGCCAGACTGGCAATTCCTAACCAGCCTCATCTCCTGTGTCCTGTGTGTCTCTGCACTTTCCTGACAGATTCCCCTTTTTCTTGCTGCTTAGGAAATTAAACCCCCGAGCTGTGTCCTGGAAGCCACTAATCCCCAGCAACAGTAAAAGTGTCTGCTGGGTGCCCACGTGGTGTAAGCCCATGCCATGACACCACATCACCCCAGCCTGTCCCTCTGCTCAGGACAGCCCAGCTGCCACCAGCCATCTGGGGGACACACGTGCTGCTGTGAGCCCTTCCCCAGCCTTGGCCATGCAGACTGGGGGGTCCAACAGCACCCAGGAGCACCTGAGAGTGTTAAAGAGTGTGGAGCTGTGTTGCTGGAGCTGAAACAGGCTTGGCTTTATCCCTTCTCTGAAGACCAGGTCCAAGTTAGAAAGAGTTCAGGGCATATTTATTGTTTACATGATTAAAGGAAAGCATGTGCCACATCAAAAATAGATGTGACAGCTCTGTCACCTGTCAGGCTGAGGGAAGTCCCAGTAGCTGTCACATCAACTCAGGCATAAATAACAAATGGAAAGGAGAGGGGAGGGCACCCATTGCAAGCCATGGCACAGCTGTGCTCTGAGCAACTTGTAAGTTTTAATGTATTTAAGCTAATGTGCTCTGTTCTGTCAAGAGAACACTTCTGTTGCTCACTAGCCAAGGCACTTCACAGCAATTTAAATAAATGCTAGCCACCAAGACAGACTGTGCTTTGGATGAGAGCAAGGCCTGGCTTTGTATGTGGGGTTCAGGACAAGGTACAGCTGCAGGCTCTTGCCTCGTATGAAACCCAGCTCGAAAAAAGCACTTCAAAAGAGGGAGGCTGCAGGACAGCTTTCAATGGGGTAAGAAGCTTCCCACCCCTGCTGCAGAGAAGGAGCACTCTTTGATGTGCACTCAGCCCTCTCCAGCACTCTCTCCTACCCTCCCTCAGGGCCTGAGATACCATCTTCATTGTAAAGATAGAAAAGTAAAGCAACTTCGTCATGGTCAGACAGAGAGCCTCGGGCAGAAGGAGGAACCCAACCAAGTCTCACATCCCATGCTAATGCCTGCTTCATCCTTCTCCATAAAGAGACTGTGAAAAACCAGCCTGTGACTGCAGAACAGGTCAAACCCGATGGCTTCTGAGAAGCAGCATCACAGCTTCCCTGCCGGAGCACCACAGATGGGGCTGAGCCTGGGCAGACACAGCCAGAGAGCTCAGCCAGGTGTTTGCCAGCTCCATGGAAAATGCTCACACGAGATGTCCTGCCCCTCTCTGCCAGAGGGACACTGGGGTGGCTCTGTGCCTGGGAGTCCTGGGGCACCATGGGGGCTCTGTGTGGGGACACACAGCTGGGCAGCTGCACCAGGGGCTCAGAACAGTGAGATTTAGAGCTCAACCACTGCTGTGCCCGGCCCCCTGAGCCTGGACACTGCCCACAAGTGTCACTTGACACTTTGGCACGGAGTGAGTGTCATCACCTTGCTGAATTAGAGTGTCCATCTGCCTGATACTCCCTGGATACAGGAGCTGGAGCCTTAAGCTGTTCCTTTGTGAGGGAGAGATCATTTTCTTTTCTAGGTCACATAACAGATCAGTGACACAGCAGGGTCAATAAAGGAAAAAAACAAAACAAAACAAAAGCCAGCCCAGGTTCCAGTCCTTACAAACAGAGATGCAGCTTGCCTCAGGCAGTCCTTGGACTTGTGAGTAGACCCTTAGGGCCCAGGGGCTTTTCATACTCCTCCTCAAGCCTTCTCAGGGAGAGGGAGCACCCCCAGGATGAGCAGCTGGAATACCACAAGGCTTGCCCTTTTATTTTAAGCTTTAGATCTGGCTGATATCTGTCTCAGTGCATCATCTTTGGGTCTGATACTTGGCTCCCCAGCAGTGCTTGGGGTGCAGGTAAGAATCAGCTGCTCTCCCAGCATCTGCCTCTCAGCCAGCGATCTTGCTGGTGCCTCCTGCATGGATTCTCTTCCTGCTCACCCTGAGCCCAGCCCACAACGTGGCCTTACAAACAGCAGCAGCCAGAGGCAAGAGGCTGATCCCATGGAGGAGCCATTAGGGCTGGAAGCACCCACCAGTGGCTCAGGGAGGCAGCCCTGGAGGTACAGTCCCACTGACAATAGCATCAGCCTCGTCCCCTCATGCTGTCACCCAGGCTGGTCCAGCCAATCTCCTGAGCCAGGCAGACACAAACATCACTCAGGATCACAGTAGCCCTGCCCTGCAGCTTTTCTCTGCCACCAGGTGGTTTCCCAGCCGTGGGAGGCAAGCTACAGTCAGGTAAGGACTTCAGCCCTCCCCCAGAGCCTGAAGATTACCCCTTGGCAAGAGGGTTTTGCTACTCTTCCAGCAAAGGCAAATCCTCTGGTAGTAGGGCAAGGGAGGGCAGATGGCTCAGGTGCCACCCAGACCTTCTGCTGGAGGGGATGAGATCCAAGTGACAGCAGGCTGTGTCCTCTGAGGGAGCACATGCTGGCAGCCTCCTGTCCACCCCTTGTTACCAGTGAGTAACAGGCCCTGTGGGAGCTCTGGTGGCACTGCCAGCAAAGCCTGAGAGCCTGACACAGGGGGACAGTCCTGCTGTGAACCAACCCTTTAATAGAGCATCCTGCTCCTGCCCCAGGAGACCTTTTGCTGCATTTAGGCTGTGGGAGAGACCCCAGCCCTCAGCACAACTCGGGATTTGCAGTTCAGGGCTGAGCCTGTGTGCTCAAAAACATTTATCCTGTGGGAGCCAGGATCCACGTTCTTGGGGAGTGCTACCACTGAGCTTTGGGTAAGTGAAGAGGATGCTCAAGTCAAACAACTCCTCCTTGCCATTTTAGAGCCCACTGCCAATACAAACTGCACAGCACAGGACCCCTGCCTCCTCACTAGAACTGCTCAGGGGCAGCCACAGCCCCACCACAATGCCCTCTTAAGATGTTTCAGCTGCCACTGAGGCTGAGGACAAGACAGGGAGAGGAGGAAGCAAACAGTGCCATAGGCAGCGCTTGGAAGTGCTGAATCCAGTCCCCTCATCCCCTGCACACAAATCACCTCAGTTCTGAATCCAGTCCCCTCATCCCCTGCACACAAACCACCTCAGTTCCCTGCACCTCCCCAGAGGTCAGGCTGACAGCAGCACCCTGGCCTGCCCCAGCACCCATCTCCTCATACACAAGCTACACTTCTGTTTTGTGAGGTCTGTTTGTATTTAATTATCAAATAGCAAAGTATTTACATCAACGTTAGAATTTCAAAGCATCTCCACCCCCCCACCACCCAAAAAGCTGGACCTTTTCAGGTTTTTTTTTTCCAAAGTTGTATTATTATCCAAAAAAAAAAAAAAAAAAGCTAAATATTTTACTGAGACACCAAAAAAGGCAAGTGAGGAAGTGAGGGGAGCTGGGGAGAGAGACACAGATCCACACATTCTCTGCATAGTCAGTTGGAGATCTTACAAAAGACTGTGTAAAAAATGGTAACAGCAGAGGAGAATGACTTGTAGGGTTTTATGGACCCCAGGAAGCCAAAGAGCATCCTTAGGGGGAGGCTCCCCTCTGGAGTTTATTGGCTTAAAAAGTAACTTGGCAGACAGAATGATGGAGGGGAAGCTCTGCATTCCCAGGTCATGCTGGCTGTGGTGGCGAGTCTGGTGACACCTGGTCCCACCACAAGCACTGCACAGGAACACGGATGGACACACGGACATGTGGACACACAGCCCCGTGGAGGAGGGCTTCTCTGGGATTGCCTTACTGCCCTGAAGTGTCCCCAGCACATCTCCTTCACCAGATCTTGCTGAAAGCCTGAGGGAATTCAGCCATCCTGGGCACCTGCTGCCCTCTGGGAAGAGCCAGAGGCTGCACTGGCCTTCCTGTCCTGCTGCACCCAGGGCCCTGCACGTGCCACACAACCAAAGGCCAGACCACAGAATATGTGCTTGCCTTCTCTCTTCCCAGCTTCCAGACCAAATCTGCCTTCCACATGTTACAGCTGTAAAAGGTTTCTCCCAGGGATAGGGATTTGTGTAATTCAGGCAGAGCTATGGCACAAGCCACCCCTTGGAACAGCCACCACGGGACAGGGATCTGTGGCAGCTGCCCATCCCAAAAGGCTGCAAACATGGGAAGACCCAAAACACTGAGGTTTGGGGAGTCCCTGCCCAAATGCAGAAATGCCAAAACAGCAAACCTGCTAGGAAAGGAAGGGGGGAGAAAAGGCTCCAACTCCCAAAATCATTTTAAAAAAATTCATTATCCAGCTGCTGCCCTTCAAGCTAGCATGTCCTCTCCATACTGCTGAAGAGTCTGTTCAAACTGACTTTAAAAGCTTTACTATTAAAAACGGAGCCACCAAACAACCAACCATGTACTTGGTTCATAAATAAGTGGCTGGGTCAAACCACACCAGGGCACTGTGGGAGTGAGTGAGTGAGTGAGAGGCAGTGGCTCGCCCGGGTCCTGCTTTGGTGGAGACCTGGGGAGGGGTTTTGGCCACCTCCTGCCCATGCTTGGCTCCCACCCAGCTTTTGTAGGACATTGGCGCCATGGCAGGGGCTGGTGAGGGGTGGGTTGGGTCTGCTGCCTGCCAGGAGGCTGTGCCAGAGGCAAACACCATCCCAAAGGTGATGGGGAGGCACAGAAAGCCTGAGGGCTCAGAGGAGGACACAGCCACTGGCTCCCCTCTCCAGGTCCTTTCCTCCAGCATCCCTGCCCCACAGCATCCCCCAAGCGCCCAAAACCCTTTGGGGAGCATCTGAAGACGCCCAGGTCTCTCTGAGCAAGGGTCTCTGGGACCCAGGAGGTGAAGGAGTGAAGCTTTGTGAACCACCATGGTGAAGGCTTTCCAGCAGGGTACAGCCACAGGACAGGGAAAACTGACACATGCAATGAAGCCAAGGTCTGGGGCGGTGCAGGGACCACTCAAGGGTTATGTACAAGCAGGTGCTGGGTGGGAGAGGGCAGGGGATGAGCCTTGCCTGCCTACACCAGGGATCAGCCCCACAGGGTGGGTGTGGGACAAAGCTGAGACATGGCTGAGGCCTCTGGGAGCGAGCAGAGGGGACATGAGGATGCAAATGTGGCACAGCACTTCCAGAGGGGGGATGTGGCTGGGGATGCTGCATGGGGACTGCTGCCTGGAAGCTGAGACACAGTGGGTAGAGGGAAGGCAGCTAAAAACACACCAGGTGGACAAAACCATCTGTGAAAGTCGAGTACTTCCTCCAAAACATTCCCACACCCAGAACACTCCATGGGCCATGCACCCAAGCACCGCAGTGGCACTGGATTTGGTGGCAGGGCCAGCCCAGGGGACTCTGCTGGTGGGAAAGCTGGTGGCAGAGCTGGGGAGGGTGGCTGGGGGGTACTTCCCAAGGGTCTGGCTGGAAGACCTGGAGCATGTGGAGGGGTAAAGCACAGCAGGGTGAGGGCTCTGCTGGTATCCCCAGTCCTGCTCCCCAAGATGTGTCCCTTGGGGGAACAGACATAGCTGGAAGATTTGATCGTGTGCTTGGGTGCTCCAATGGGCTAGTGTTGGTCACCAGAGCCTGGAGCTGTCACATTTCAGAGTTCCAGAACCCACCAGCCCTTAAGGTCATGGTGAGGCCAGAGGGACCACCAGAGTTCTGCTGTCATCCCATGTTGCCACCACTCTGGCACATCACCCCATTCAAACCAGCCTGGAATTGTGACATCCCTGTGGTAAAACATCTCTGCCAGCACCCTTGGGAGAGCTGGAGCCAAGAGGGAGATGGTGGGGAAGGTGAAGGGGCAGGGAAATTTGTGCTGATTTAGAAAGGGGTTGCAGGAGACTGGGACCGTGTGTCTGAGGTGGGGTGATGCTGTCCCTCAAATCCTCCTGGCTGACCCCAGAGCTGTGAGGGGGGAAAGTCTCCCAAAACCCAAGTCTCTTGGCAGGAGATGCTCTGCTTGCCCTCCTGAGCTGGCTGTGTTGGTGCCCACAGGCTCCTCTCGCCAGCAGAACAGCGCCGCCTTGTTAAACACGGGCCACAAGTCTTAATGAGCGATGGGGGAACCCAGGGGCTCCCCTGGCTGCATCTGCACACAGTGCCCTGTCCTGCTCAGGGCTGCTCCACAAACACAGCCCCTCGCTGGGGAGGCCAACCCTCGGCGCCCCGCGCTGGGGACAGCAGCGTCCCTGGTGCCAGGAGGAGCCCCATGTCTATAGGTTCTCTCCAGGCTGGTACTGGGGCTCTGTCGAGGTGAAGTAGTCCTCCAGGAAAGCCTGCAGGTACTCGAAGGTCGGTCTCTCCTCCGGGTCCTTCCGCCAGCACTGGCACATGAGGTCGTGCAGGGACTCGGGGCACTCGGGCGGGCAGGGCATGCGGTACCCCCGCTCCACCTGGTCCAGCACCTCCCTGTTCACCATGCCTGTGTGCAGCCAGAGGAGACATGGCACGGGTCAGAGCCAGGCCTGCACCCTGCCTGTGCCTGAGCAGAACCAAAGACATCCTCCCTGCCCCTGAGCAGAGCCAGGCCTGCACCCTGCCTGTGCCTGAGCAGAGCCAGGCCTGCACCCTGCCCATCCCTGGCCTGCACCCTCCCTGTCCCTGAGCAGAGCCAGGCCTGCACCCTGCCTGTCCCTGATCAAAGCCAGGCCTGCACCCTGCCTGTGCCTGAGCAGAGCCAGGCCTGCACCCTGCCTGTCCCTGATCAAAGCCAGGCCTGCACCCTGCCTGTGCCTGAGCAGAGCCAGGCCTGCACCCTGCCTGTCCCTGAGCAGAGCCAGGCCTGCACACTGCCTGTCCCAGAGGGACACCAAGGGTGCACTGCCAGGACCTGCCTTAGGGGCAATCCCACTGACCCAGGGAGAGAAGAACCCCAGGCCTAGCAGCACTTGTCCCTGTCACCTTGCTCAGTGGCACAGGGTGGCTGGGATGCTGCATCCTGGCCAATATCTGCTCACCCCATGGGGCAGGATCCAACCTGGGATAAGGTAAGCACTGAGCATGGACAGCTGGTGTTGGGCACCACAAAGGGGACAGGGCCTCTGCCAGCAAGTGCCAGCCCTCACCTGGGTATGGCACTCTGCCCTTGGTGGTCAGCTCGGTCAGGAGGATGCCGAAGGACCAGACGTCAGACTTGATGGTAAACCTGCCATACAGAGCTGCCTCGGGGGCCGTCCACTTGATGGGGAACTTTGCACCTGGATGGAGAGGCAGGGTGAGGGGGTGCCTCCAGGGCCACATGGTGGCTCCAGGCACACACACTGTGGGACCAGTGGCCATTGCTCTGGCCAGCAGCCCTGGGCACGCACCTTGCCGAGCCGTGTACTCGTTGTCCTCGATGAGTCGTGCCAGGCCAAAATCAGCCACTTTGCACACCAGGTTCTCCCCCACCAGGATGTTGGCTGCCCGGAGGTCCCGGTGCACGTAGTTCATCCTCTCCACGTAGGCCATGCCCGATGCAATCTGTGGGGAGCAGCACATGGGGCACTGTGGCTGACAGAATGGCACGAGGATCCCCAGGGACAGCCTGCCACCACTGAGGGGAACAGGCCTGCAGTGGGACCCAGCTGAGGTATGGGGAACACCAGCTGCACAAGAAACGCCATGCAGGCTTGGGTTTGCTGGCCAGGGAGAGCTGGCAGCAACAGGAACAGGCAAAATGATGGTCCAGGAGTGCAACCCTGCTCTGGGCTGAGACCCAACACTAGCACCCACCCAAGTGAGGCTGCAGAGCACCCCACTGCCTGACCATGGCAGCCACCACAGCCCAGTGCAGGGCTCAGGCAGACAGTGTCCCCACCAGGAATGAAGGAGGCCCAGGGATGTGCAAACCCACCTGAGCAGCCATATCCACAAGCTGAGGCAGCCGCAGGTACTTGCCCATCTCACCCTTCAGGAAATCCAGGAGGCTCCCTGTGAGAAAGACCATGGTGAGAGCAGTCCAGGGGAGCAGAGCCCCTCAGCTGTCCCCTCGGTGTCCCTCCCCTGCTCACCCTTGCTCATGTACTCCGTGACAATGTAAATGGGCTCCTCTGACACCACAGCGTAGAGCTGAACCAGCTTCTCGTGTCGCAGCTTCTTCATCACCTGGGCCTCCTGCAGGAAGGCCTCTGGGGACATGGTGCCAGGCTTCAGGGTCTTGATGGCCACCCGGGTGGTGCCATTCCAGGTCCCTGTGGCACAGGACACGCTGCTCAGGACACACGTACAGGGCAAGGGGCTGTGTCCCTCCCCTGCTCCCCACCCCACCACCTGCTCCAGGCATCTGCAGATAGCAGGGGACAGGATGCAGAGGGTGACACAGAGGGGACAGCAGGGTGGGAATGGTCCTTACCCATCCACACCTCTCCGAAGCAGCCCTGTCCCAGCTTGACCTCCAGCCGCAGCGACTCCCGGGGGATTTCCCAGGCATCCTTGGCAAGGCCTTGGGTCTGGGGCTTGGACGTGGGGCAGATGTTGGTGAGACGGTGGCACAGGCCATCAGCATGTTCTGGCACGGGAAGGGACAGCAGCAGGGTGACACCTGGGTACTTAGGCATGCAATGTCTTTACCCATAACTTTCCTGTGAACACCCTGGGGACCCAAACCCAAACCCTCTGCCTGAACCCCAGCTTTTCACCACAGTCCCACACAGCTGCTTTGGTGTCTCCTGTGCAGCAGTGACTTCCAGCAGCACCCACCCTGCAGGAAGGGCAGGGACAGCACCCAGGGTGCCCCCCAGAGCCCAGGGGACCCACATGGCTACCCACTGGAGTAGTAGGCCACCAGCTGCTGCAGGCTGTTGAACTGGGTGCGGGAGGTGATGTAGAAGCCGCCGCTGTCCAGCTTGCGGATCTTGTAGTGCTTCACGTTGAGCCCCTTGGCGTTGTCAAAGTCAGACACAGAGAGGCAGTAGGCACCTGTGGGCACGACAGAGGGGCTGCAGAGGATGTGCCATGGGTGGGTGCTCCCCGTGGGGTCCCACTGCAGGGCTGGGCACGCAGGTGCTGCCTTCACCCAAAAGCACAGGATGGGGAGCAGCTCCTGGCTGCACCAGCTGGCACCAGGTGCCAGGGAGGAATGGCACACATCCCCCAGCTACAGCCATGCCACACCATCACAACCTCAGCTGCCCTCTGCTTGCACAGCAGCTCTGCCAGCAGCCATCCTGTGGGATGTGCTAACAAGGGGAGAGGAGCAGGCAGAGCCAGGCTGGGGGGGCTGCTGACCAACAGCTCTTCAGTGTCTCAGAGAGCAGCTAAGGGGCCGGTGGGCACAGCTCCCTGTCACAGGCATCTTTTATGAAAAATCCTTTCTTCAGGATTTTTCCTCCTGAGAAGCTGGGAGGCCTCAGGAACAAAATGTAAACAATGATTATCTGCCGCTGTGGAATGCAACAGGTGCATCTGTGATTGGTCTCATGTGGTTGTTTCTAATTAATGGCCAATCACAGTCAGCTGGCTTGGAGTCTTTGTCCAAGACACAAGCTTTTGTTATAATTCTTTTTTTTTTCTATTCTTAGCTAGCCTTCTGATGAAATCCTTTCTTCTATTCCTTTAGTATAGTTTTAATATAATATATATCATAAAATAATAAATCAGCCTTCTGAAACATGGAGTCAGATCCTTGTCTCTTCCCTCATCCTTGGACCCCTGTGAATTATGTCACAGTTCCCTTCTGCACAAGTCCCACCATAGGCATTGCTTCAGGAGCCTGGCTCTGCTCTGCCCACATGAGAACAATGTGGTGTTGCTGGGGCCACAGAGAGCAGAGGGCAAGATGTATGCTGCTGCTTGAAGAAGCTGCTTCCATCAGAATAAAACAAATAGTGAAAAGTTCAAGGCACAAAACCAGAAAGGAACATCAAAGAGCTTTTCCCAAAGGTGCATTTGGAGCCAAACTAAACCAGGTAAGAAACGTCCTCAGGCAGTCAAACCTCAAAGATCACAACTCGCACTTTCAGAAGTGCCAGACTTGAAAGGACTAAAGTTCATCATTCCCTCAGCCCTGGCTGCCCAGGCAGAATGTGTTCAAGATTTTGTCACTATAAAGGGACCAGGAGAAAACAAAAAAACCATCTAGTTGGGGGTGTACAAAATCCCAGCCAAATAAACCAACAACAAAAAAACAAACAGGAAAAGAGATGATCCTGCCTGATGGTCTTGCCAGAGTTGGTGAGACCCCTGGCTTCCACCCTGCCATGAGCTGAACCACCTCTGAGAAGGGCATTCACTGGGTGGGCAGTGGTGGGAGAGAAGTGGCCACATCCCTCCAGCCCATGGGCTCAGTGGTGTAACAGTGCCTTTGGCACAGGCACGTCACTGGTGATGTGATGGCCACGTCAGCATTGGCTCCCTGGAGACCAGCAGCAGACACTGAGGGGACTCAGGGTACCCCCACACCCCCCAGAGAGGGTCTCCTCCAGGCCAGCAGCCCCCCAGCCCTGCTCACCTTTCGTGGTCTCGCTCTCCCGGACCAGGAAGGTCCCTCGGGGGTTTTCGGGGTTGAGCAGCAGCCGCTCGGACTCGCGGCGAGTGATCTTCCCAAAATACCACCTGCAGGACAAAGGCAGGGGCTCAGCCCCTGGCACTGCCCCCCTCCACTGCCTGCCCAAGCAGGGGGCTCAGCCCTGGCCCTCCCACTGCAGGTTTGGGAGAGCAGGGGCTGTGTCCGGGCTCGGGCACCTCGCTGTGTGTCACATCCCCACACAGCCTGGGCTGGGCATTGCCTCTCTGCCAGAGGGGCTGGAACCTTCCTGCCACACCTTCAACCAGACCAGGTTACTCAAAGCCCCATCCAAACTGGCCTTGAACACTGCCAGGGTTGGGGCAGCCACACTGGGCAGCTTGTGCCAGTGTCTCACCATCCACCAGGTAAATAATTTTTTTCCTGACATCTAAATCTCTCCTCTTTTAGTTTAAAAACATTCCCCCTTGTCCTTTCACAGGCCTCTGTGCCCATGTAAAACACCTCTCTCTAAGAATCCCCTTTAAGTTCTGGAAGGCTGCTATGAGAACTCCCTGGAGCCTTCTCTTCTCCAGGCTCTCCACAAAAACCAGAGCAAAAGCATCCACAGCCCTGCTATGCCACCACTCACCCCTCCACCATGCAAGCACGCTGCAGCACTGCACTATGGCCTTAAAGAGAGCCTGGTTTGCACATTCACAGGGGAAAACTAACAAAAAGGAAACACCCAGAGGGCTTGGAGGATTCTCCCAGGAGCAGGGCAGGAGTGGAGGGGGAGTGCTCAGGGTGTGTTTGCTATCACTTGTCTATAAACTGTCTAAAAGATGGCAATTACTCTTCAGCCTGGATGGAGTCTGAGGGCGCGACATAGTTACTGGGGATGTAGCCCGTCTGTCCTGTAGTGAGGGAATGAGCCAGCCACCAGTCACCTTCCCTGCAAGAGAACCAAAACACACTCAGTGTGGAGCCAGGAGCCCCCCAGCCAGCCCCTCACCCGCCCACAGGCACCGGGGCAGGATGAGCCAGCACAGAGCCCCACTGGGAAAAGGTGCAGCCCCACAACCAGACCCCAGCCAGGAGAGCTCCTGCTGCCAGCCCCTGCCCCTGGCTCTGTTTGGGTGAGCTCTCGCACCTGGGGCCATCCATCCACATATGGAATGCTTTAAACCCAAATCAGGCAGGGCAGCCAGCAAGCCAAAACACCTTCAGAGCCACCTGAATGGGAAGGATATCTGGCTGGAGGCTGGGGGGCACTGGGGGTCCTGGCAGCAGGGAGCAGCAGACAAGGGGAGGGACAGGAAACGTGGAGCAGCGACAGAATGATGGCAGCAATTGGAAAAGGAACCAGGAAAACCCAAGGGAGTTAGTTAAACACAGGCTGCAGAAAAGCAGCAGGACAGGGCTGAGGTTTGTGGTCTGTGGTGTCCAGGCTGGATGCTGGGATCTGTCCAGCCCGGGTGTCCCATTCACAGCCCCTGCAAGGCTGCAGCCCGACCCTGAGCCTCCTGCTGCCCCAGCGAGGGCTGAGGCTCCTTGTCCCTAAAAACCTGCAGCTGAGCCCCAGCCAGCCCTCCTGCCCCGGGCACAGTGACCCCAGGCATGTCCCCAGGAGCTGGAGGGTGCTCTGCCCTCCTTCCCGCCGGACGGGGCTGGAAAGGACAACAAATAGAGAACAAGAGCACGACAGGAGGTGGCTTCCCCTTCCTGTGGACAGCAGGGCTTTTCCTCCCACCACCTGCATCTTCTTGCCCATCAAAGACAGCCTCTGAATTCATCCTGACCACAAGGGAGACGAGGCTACGGGAAAGTGCAGATTCGTGGGAACGGCCCCGTAAGGATACAAGAACTTGGCAGGACAACCTCCACAAACAAGCTACAGAAAAACACCAATAACCTCAGCCACCACTACACAAGGATCACCAGACCACATCCAGACCCATCCCTGACCCTGCAGATGTGTAAACCTCCATCCTTGCTTCAGACTCACCAGCTGCTTGTGACCCGTGCTTTTCCCAGCTAAACCAGTGATGCTTCAAAGCACTGGGATAACCCAGACGTGGCCCCCAGCTCCCCGTGATGGTGCCACTTGGTGGGGATGGTGGGGACCTTCCAGGCATCTCTTCCTACTCACAGAGCTGGGCTCTGCCCCTGGAGCAGCCTCACAGCAGCCCTGGATGACATTTTTGCTTCTTCCAGCCCCAGCACATCTTGTGGCAGGCAGCTTGTGCTCCTCAGCCAGGGCTGTTTCCCGAGTCACCTTTACTGAGGTGGCTCTGAAGGGGACAGGAGGCTGGTTGGGCTCCTTTCCCACAGGACCATAGTAAACATCTGCTTGAAAAATGCCCAGCTTTTGACTTGTGGCTTTATTCCAGCTTGGGCTGCAAGGCTACAAGCTGGGAATTCAGCAAAACAAACTATTCCAAAAATGTCTCAGTGGGGAAAAAAATAATAATAATCATCATCATCAAAACAAAGCATTTCAACAATTCCCTGCACAATCTTACCCAAAATATCCCACCACATCCCAGCTGGCTGCCTGCTGGCTGGGAGGAGACTTCTTCCCACTGGAGATGGTACCACAAGAGCCCTTCTGCACTGGGTGGATTGGTAGGATGACCCAGAGCAGGGAGGTGAGGGATGTGGAGGCTTCTCATCTCACCCTGAGCAACCTCAGCTCCATCAGGACAGCCAAAATCTGGTGCCAGCCTGCAAAGCCACCCTGGCCACTGTGCCCAGCACCTGCCAGCCCTTCCTGGACTGAACCCAAGTCCCCTCCCTGCAGCTCCAGGGCACTCCCTGTCCTGCCAGGGAGACCAGAGGAAGGGGGCATCACACATCTGTCTGTGGCTGTCCCCAAAGTGCAGCAGCCTGAGCTGTTCCCAGACTGTGTGAGCATCTCTGGGAGGTCACTGAGAAGAGTGATTCACCCCTGAGCACTGCACAAACTCCCAACTTCCTCCACCACCTCTCTCCCTGTGGACATCTCACCCACACAGGCACTGGGAAGGTTGGCAGCCACATCCTGCACCCTCCACCAAAGGACTGGGTCACCAAAAAAAGCCCTTTTGCTCCCCAGGGTGCTGCAGAGCCCATCACAGAGTGAGCCTTCCCTGTGACTGAGCCTTTGACAAATAGCAGTAAAGGGAAGAAAAAGTGTGGAAACCCCAGAACTGATAAAAGGTGAAAAGAAAAACTCCTCACAAATGGGCCTGATCTGGACCCCCACGGGCAGAGCTCACATTGCAACAGCCAGAGAGCAGAACTTAAAGCATGGGGCTCACACACTGCTGAGGCTGAAAGTAAGAATCACCAAAACTCCCAAATTCAGGCTTTTCCTACAATGTTGAAATGCTGCACATCTCAGACTTCATAGATGAAACAAACCGTTAATAAACAGCACTGGAACAACGAGAACAAGGATCAGAGTGAAAACATGTTTGAGCCACACTGCCCAAGCACTGCAGGAGAAATCTCACTCCCGGGATGTTCCCTCATCTTTCCACCCTTTGACTTTGCTGTTTTGGGTGCCCAAGCTGGAAGGCAGCAGTGGAGGGGGAGCAGGAGCTGCAGACCCTCAGGACCCTGTGGCAGCTCCATAGCTGGGGACACTGGGGACATTGGCTCTGCCAGCCAGGCTCTGGCCTGTGTGTGCCTCGTTCAGGACAGAGCACACATGGGGTTAATACAGGATCATTTTTAGGAGCATCTTCCAGCTGGCCATGCTGCCCTGCACGTGATGGATGTGCTGTGGTGACCAGGATGGGGAGCAAACCAGGGGGTCCTCAAACCAAACCCTGAGGAAATACTTGAATATCAGAGCCACTCATGAAATATAAAAGTAAAATTTAAAAAAATGCAAAAGAAAAATGCAAAAGGCAGGGGGTAGTGAAAAGCCAGCTGGAAAGAGAGTGCAGAGGGGAGCCACACATGGGACAAGGAAAGGGGATGGGTTCAGAGCTCCCAGGTGCAGACACAGCTCTGGATGGAACATTTCCCCAGCATGGGAAGGGACTCCCTGCTCTGTTCTGCTCACTCAAAGAGGACAAATGCAACCAACCACAAAACCATCTGGAAACCATCTCCTCCCAGCCCTGCTCCATCCAACCTGCCCTCAAGTGGGCAGCAGACAGGCTTTGATCATTTAGGTCATTTATAACAACAGTAAGAATGTGCAATACACACCTGACGTCCACTTTTCTCCTAAAGGACAGCATGGAGGGAGAGAAAGAAAGAGTCAAGAGAGAAGCTGAGACCAGAGACAGCGTACAAGCACAGGGAAAAGCACCCATGAAGCTCAGGGAGGTGTCCAGGCCAACAAGAGGCAGCTGAGCATGGATGGGGACAGGACTGGTCAGGATTGTGTTGGAGGGCACAGAACGGCTCTGTGGTGGCGCAGAATGGCCAGCAAAGAGAGGACACAGCTTGGTGACAAGGCTGTGAGGCCACAGTGACCTGCAGCAGGGTGAGGAGGATGAGGAAGCAGGCAAATGACTGCTTTCAGTGTCAGTGTGACAAGTCACCGTGTCCGTGTGCATTTTGCCACATCCCTCTGAGCACCCATCCATCCCTGGCACAGCTGGTCCTGCCAGGCTGGGCTGGGGGCTCCACAGGAGGGACAGAGGTGACAGCTCACCCCCCGAGCTCGGCTGCAGGGACACTCACGTGTTGTTGACAATTTGCAGGCGCTCTCCTTTCTTGAAGGACAGGTCGGTTTCCGTGCGGGACTCGTAGTCGTAGAGGGCTACGAAGGTGGTGACTCCCCCTGTGACAAAGAGCACTCAGGAGGGCACAGTCACAGGGACACTGCCTCCCACCATCCTCCCACTGATAACACAGACCTGCTCCTCCCCCAAGCCCAGAGTCCCTCAAAAACCCCAAACCCCAAGAAGTTGGCAACAAACCTATAGGAATGTGCCCCCTGTGGACAGAGTGACAAAACTATGGTTTGTCCCCTTAAAAAGGAAACAAGCCCAGAAGTTTCATTCCTCAATTAGGTGAAAACACATCTCATAGGACCTGGGGGACTTCACCTCAAACTTAAGGACAGCTAATTGGACAGGAGCCAAAAAGTCCCACCTGAGCAATTTACTAGAAAAAGAAGAGAACAAAGAAACTAATGGCTTTTGTGAGGTGTTTTACCAGGGGCAAAGACCTTTTGCACCTGGCTTGGTTTTTCTCAGTAAAGAGTTTTGTTATTTTGCCTTTTATTAAAACCTTTCTGTTTCCAACACTACCACAGAAGCCATCCTGCTGATTTTATGCCTTCTAAGGTATCTGAGCTATGAGAGCTGGCTTGAGGAGACCCCTATTTCCCAAACCCACCATGACCCCACCCTGGTGAACCCCAGCCCCACGGACCAGCCAGCGCCCCGGCGCGCTGCGGCGAGGTGACGGTGTCAGAGGTGTTGAAGCCCCCAAAGAGCTTGGACTCAGCAGCCATGGTGCCAAAGGATCTGCTGGGGGTGCGGTGGGCATCGGGGGCAGCCGCCTTGCTGGGTGTCTGCGAGGCTGGGAAGCCCCCATGGTGGGTGTTCTCCGTGGGCTCCAGGCTGCGCCGCCGCTGGCTGGGGTCTTTGGGCTTGCTCTTGCTGCTCCCCATGGTCCCGGGCTGGAGGGCACACAGAGGGCTTCTATTATTATTATTATTATCATCATCATCATTATTATTGTCATGGTTATTATTATTATTGTAATTATTATCGATAGGAAGAAGAAGAAGTTGTTTCCCAGGGCTCGAGTGACAGATGCCTGCCCACCAGGAAACGAAACAACCTCTGGAGTCAGTTCAAGCAGCAGCTGCTGGGCAGTCTGGCTGTGCTGCCCTTGCCCTGGGATACCATTGCCCCTCATTAGCATGGAGACTCCTCCTGTGTGGCTGCAGCAGGCAGTGAAACTGCCAGGACACGCTTTGGGAGCAGAGGGAAGCACGCTGAGCTGTGGGAGTGCAGAGCAAAGATGCTGAGTGTGGAATCTGGACCTGTGCTGAGACTGTGGCAGCTCTGGGGCCAGGCACCTGTCATGGGACACGGCTCAGTCCCCACGTGTTTCCTCCTACACATGAGTTTCTACCAGGATGGGGATTTAAGTACTGAAGACAGACCTTTGAAGTCCAAAGCATGCAGCCAACAGGATAAAAGTTTAAATCAGGAGCAGTTTCAGGCAGTTTGCAGCTAAGGACCAAGGGATCTCGCTTTTATATATAGTGAAATAGTTTATATATAGCCTTCCTTTCCACTCAAGACCACACTCTATAAATACCTTCAAGGTAATGACATAAATGAAGGCAGGGAATTATTTGCAGTCTCTAAAGATGGCAGGATACCCAGCAGTGTCCTGAAGCTATGGCAGGAAATATTTAGGCTAGATCACACATGGCAGGAGGGAAAAGGGAGGTGGAGACAAGCAGGGAGGAGAGCATCTCTGACAAGAAAACAAGAAGGGAAGCAGCAGAGAAGGCAGCTGCTGCCCACAGGGTGCAGACCTGGACACAGTGAGGCTTTGGGAGGGCTCAGCCTCATCCAGCAGAGGGTTTTGAGCCCAGCTTTGCAGAGAAGCTCAGGCTGAGCCCCCCAGAGCCATGGGCAGCCCCAGCAGCCTGCACAGTGTCACTGGGGCAAAGCCTTGGCTCTTGCTGTGGGAAAGCTGAGGGTGCCAGGCACAAGCTGCTCCCTGTCCCCCTCAGCTCCCCTCCCACAGCAAGGGCTTTGACTGACGATCAGGGCTTATTTCCCAAAAGACACAATTTCCATCTCCTGCTCTCCAGCTCCCACACTGCACAGAGGACCAGCAGTGTCCTTGTGTGACCCGTGCCGGCAGGCTCAGATCCTGCCATGGTTTGGGAAATGTAATAAACTGATTTTTTTGTGCTGGGTATGACTCCTGCAGCCACTCCAGTGGGCAGCAGAGCTGTCCTTCCTCCTGTGGATGCAGGTGATGAGGAGAGACCATGCCTCTATCTGCCACAGGACTCAGTCCACCCATACCTGTGCCAGGCTTTGGGGGTCTCAGAGCAAATAAGAATTAAATAAAAGCTTTGGATTTGCAAATGGTCACTTCTGGCAATCCAGAGGCAGATCCTGCAGCCAAGGGGAAGGAGTCTGTCCCATAAATGCACTTTAAAAGCTTGTTCAGTAGGGGACAGCAAGACCTGAGGAGTGATGACAAGGAGCCCCCACCTCCCTGTCCCCAGCCAGCCCCTTGCTCACCTCTGCCCGGGGCTCTGGCACCCGCTGGGGCTCCCGGGATGCCAGTGGCAGTGCAGGGAGAAAAGTGGGAGCATGGCAGGGCTGTGACCGTGTGGCTTGTGACTCCCCACGGGACAGTGAGCCAGAGTAGAGCTGCTCAGAGTTTCCCCTGCAAGCAGCACTTCCCCAGGCAGGAAAACACCCCAGCCAGGATGGTGGGTTAGCAGCACTCTGGGGACACAAGTGTCCCCAAGCACATTTTCTGAGGCTGGGTCAGAAAATTATTTATCAGTGTGCTGAGGAAATCAAGGTATAAAATAGTCAATATGCCCAGAGATTAGATAGAAGCAGAGCACAGGGAGGGGACAGGGACTTCCCTAAAACAGGGGGTCCTCACCTTCCCACCTGTGAGTCTGTGGGCACAGGATGTGTAACTTCCAGCCATGTCCTGGCCAGGAACACCATGAACTGTGAGCTCATCCCTCCTCACACAGCAGTCTGGGCAGGGAGAGCTCCCACCCTGCCCTGGGTGCTGACCATGCCAGGCAAGGGCTCTGCTGGATGTGCTGGTCACTGGGACACAATGCTCTGGCAGGGCTGTGCTGCAAGAGCCAAAGATGGAGGAGGAGGAGGCAGGAGCCCACAGCTCTCTGGGGAAGGGGCTGCAGAGCCCCACTCCAAGCTCTCCTGTTGCTTTGCATCTGAATGTCTACACACTCTGCCTTCAATCTGCAAAATACAGGCTGGCAACCCCAAACCGTGCCCAGGGGCACTGCCAGCCTCGAACCATCCCCACTCTGAGTCCCAGGTAACTCAGCCAACACGACCATGTGGCTTTGTGGCTTTAGCCCTGTGGCTCTCCACCTGTCCCCAGGGAGGAGAGGGGCCTGAGAAAACCCTTGCAGCACCCACACCCCCTTGGCAGCTGGAAAGGAAAGGGTGCAGATTCCCCTGAGAGAATGCAGGGTTGTGCAAGAGCCTGGCAAAGGAGTGATTAATGACAGCAGGAATGTGCTGTGCACTCAGGTCCTCGGGAGGCACCAGGGAGAGACCCCCCTGCCTCTAGCACAGTCACCAGTGAAAACCAATGAAAACCCCTCCAGAGTCAAATGGAAAAGGAGGAAGTGTGGTGGCTCCCAGCACATCCCAGCAGCATCACTGGGAGCTGAGGGATAGCAGCCAGACTGCAAAAAACACCCATTGCCAGGAGCTATGCTGTGTATATGTCTAATAAATTTATGTCTAATAAATACAGCATTTCCACAGGCAGCAGGCTGCAGGGATGCTCAGCACCAGCAGCACCCAGCCAGGGCAGCCTGGCTGACGCCCAGTGGGATTCTGCCCTGCTTTTCACAGCTGACAGTGCTGGGATGGGGGGCTCAGCATCGCTCCCCACCCCTTGCCTTTCAGCAGGACTGCCCCTGTCCCCCTCCCAGGGCTTGTGCAGGGGGCTGGAGCACGGCCAGCGCTGCCTGTGCTCGGCTCACAGCTTTCCTGCGGCGGGGATTAGCACCCCGGGCACGTTGCAGCCTGCAGGAACTCCCTGCCTTCCGCTCGGGGGGCAGCGCCAGCGGCACGGCACGAACCAGCACCGGCATGGGCTGTGAGGCTTGAGAACCTCAGAACCAGCACCGGCATGGGCTGTGAGGCTTCAGAACCTCAGAACCAGCACCGGCATGGGCTGTGAGGCTTGAGAACCTCAGAACCAGCACCAGCATGGGCTGTGAGGCTTCAGAACCTCAGAACCAGCACCGGCATGGGCTGTGAGGCTTCAGAACCTCAGAACCAGCACCGGCATGGGCTGTGAGGCTTGAGAACCTCAGAACCAGCACCGGCATGGGCTGTGAGGCTTCAGAACCAACACTGGCATGGGCTGTGAGGCTTCAGAACCTCAGAACCATCACTGGCATGGGCTGTGAGCCCTCAGAACCTCAGAACCAGCACTGGCATGGGCTGTGAGGCTTCAGAATCAGGACAGGCATGGGCTGTGTGGTCTCAGAACCAGCACTGGCATGGGCTGTGAGCCCTGAGAACCATCACCAGAATGAGCTGAGGCCTCAGAACCAGGGTGGGCATGGGCTGTGAGCCCTCAGAACCAGCACTGGAGTGAGCTGAGGCCTCAGAACCATCACCAGCATGACCTGGGAACCCTCAGAACCAACACTGGCATGGGCTGAGAGGCTTCAGAACCACCCTGGCATGGGCTGCGGGGCCTCAGCTCTGCTGGGAGGACCGCGGAGCGTTGTGCCCTCCGCGCCTGCAGCCAGCCCCAGCCAGCCCCAGCCTGGCCGGTCCCACCAGGAGCACCACGGAGCGCTGTGCCTTCTGCACCTGCAGCTGGCCCCAGCCCGCCCGGGATGCTCTGGCTGTGGCACAGCACACAGTGAGCCCCCCCAGCAGGTGAAGCAGCCCGATGCCTGCTGCCCGGGCCATGGGCGATGTCTCACCGGTGCTTTCGGCTACAGCCTGGCCGCGGGGTGGGGAGGTGCTGCCAGAGAACTCAGCTGAGCTCCCGCTGCAGCCTGCGAGGAGAGGGAGCGTCAGCACCGCGGCAGCCCTGACACCCTCTCCCCCCATGCCATGGTTCACTGCCCAGGGCTGCCTTCATCCTCCTCCTCCTCCTCGCCATCCCTCCGGCGAGCTCACACCGCTCGCTCTGATCTCTGCTGTGTGACGAGGGGATGGATGATTCTCTGCTCCCCTTCATCAACCCCACTGGGGATGGGAGAGCAGGCCCCAAGCCATGTCCCAGAGTGGAAGGGGAACAGAGGCACCCCCAGCCCAGCAAGGGATTTTTCAGGGGAAAAGCAAAGCCGGTTCCTCCAGACACACCAGCATTTCCAGCCCTGCTGCTCCATCTCCGGACAGCCACGACCTGTGGCAGGGCATGGTTGGCCACCAGGCAGAGACCTCGTCCCCCGGGATGAGTCATCTGCTCCAACAGCTGAGACAAACCGAGCACAAGGTATGGGAGCAACCTCTGCTGCTCAAGCCCTGACTCATCCAGAAAAGCGTGTTTTAGCTAAATTTTTCAAAAAGGACGGTTTTCTGTCACAAGTGTGTGTGATGGGGGGACCCTAGTCAGCAGCAGCAGCCTGGGGCAGAGCTGCAGGTGGAAAGCAGAGCAGGACATGGCCCTGCAGAGCCAGGGCAGCCCCTCACCTGGCTTTGCCACCCTTTCCCAGCCCCAGCTCCAACAGGAAATGCTCCTTCTTCTCCTACAGAAAGGAAATTCTCTCTCCAACCAGCCCTGCTCACCCAGTGCTGGGCAGAAGCTTCAGCCACCCCCGAGGGGCTCCTGCTCCTGCACAGAGGGGATTCAGACCCTACTTCAAGGCCCCAGGCAGTATCCCACCAGGCTCCTGTCCCAGCTGGAGCCCAGGTTTCACACCTGATCCAAGGGCAACATCCCGGGTTTCACACCTCATACCAAGGGAATATCTCAGTGTCTGCATGCAGGGGCCGTGCCCCACCACAGGCTTGTTTTCATGGCCTCCCCTTCCCCCTACTAATAATTTTTGTCACTATTTTTAGTGCATTTGATTAGGATAATGAGTGGGAGCTGACTGACAGCTCTTTAAGACGTTGAATGGTTTGTAATTTGTACTTGACAAATACTGGCTGGCAATGATTGCACAGCGGGATGCAGGGGGGAAGCTGCAGCCCCAACTCAAGGCTGCAGCACATACAAATAAAGCTGTGCCACGTACACACGTGGTGCCCGTGTCCCTGCCCCCAGACATGCTGTGACACGGGCCACAAGAATGATTAGACCAAAAAGAGCCAAAAATGCCACAAGGAAAATCCAAATATGCCTCAGCCTGGGGTCAGCCATGTGCCAGAGCAGCAAGATACCAGGTCTGCTGATGGGGAAGGGCAGGTCCCTGGGTGGATGGATGCACCAGCAACCTCATGCTGACAGATTTGACTGTTTGGTGGCTGAAGGTGGCTGCTGTGGCAGCAGCCTGGCACTCCCTGGCACATGTGGCAGAGTCCTGCTGCTCACTTGGCAGTGGGGCTGCCATCCTCACCAGCACATCACTGGCACAGCCACAGCCAGGCTCAGAGAACACCAGCACTGCCATCCCCACCGATCCCCTGTGCTGCTGGCTCTGCATTTGGGGTCTTCCCTGCCTCCTTTCCTCCCTAGACAGAGGGGAGGGTGCCAGGGCTGAGCAACTTGCCCGGGGCAGAGGCCGCAGCAAGGAGAGGCCAGCCCAGTCCCACCCTCTCCAAAAGCAATTAAAAATGAAGCACACTCGGCTGCACAGCTCAGCTCGGATCAGATCACGGTACGCGAGGCAGCGGCATCCCCGTCCGCGCTGCCGGCGCTGGAAATGCCACCTGGGCCGCCCAACACCCACGCTCCGGGCTGTCTCCTCCAAAAAAATTAACTGGCAAGCTGGGCGGCAGGAAAAGGCTCCATCCTCTGCCCTACCTCCCCGAGGAGAGATGCGCTGGCAGCTCCGCGGCGAGTCCCGCTCCCGCTGCTTTCCTGCTTTCCTGGATCGCTCAAGGATACAATGGCCGTGGTACGGGCAGGCTGACAGCGCAGGGGAAGCGATCTTATCGCCTTCGTAAAGACACTAACAAAAGGCACTGATTGGGAGCAGACAAAACACGGCACAGGCAGAAACCTTGGGAAATGCCGCGACAAGCTGGGGCCCAGCACCAGACACCGAGCTTTGGGGAGGGAAACATCTCTGGCAATAAAGGATTGGAGTCCTTGGAGCTGCTCCAGAGCCGGGGGTGCTGGGCAGGGTGGGGGTGCTGGGGGACAGGGGGCGAGGGGCTGGGAGCACCAGCACCCCGGCACTGATGGAGGGAGACGAGCGGAGCCGTGTCCCCAGCCCGCAGAGCCCCGGTGAGATTAATCACGGCAGCTGTCTCGCAGCAGACTGAAAAATGAAGCGTGCGGGACGGCGGGCGAGACAAAGCAGCCTGGCGGCACCCAGCCCATGGCAGCCGGCACCGGGGACAGGGAGAGGCACGGGGCAGCGGTCCCGAACACACCCAGCCCCTCCATCCATCCCCTGGCACACACCCAGCCCCTCCATCCACTCCCTGGCACACAACCAGCCCCTCCATCCACTCCCTGGCACACACCCAGCCCCTCCCGGCCAGCCGGGGCAGATCCGTGCGGAATCAATGGAAGCTGCTTGCAAAGGGGGCATTAAACCAGAGGTCCCAGACTGGAGCAGCCAAAGGGCACTTTGCCACCCTCCCCATACCCCTGCTTGGGTGGCACCAAGTGGCAGCAGTGCTGCCCAGAGAGCAGGGTCAGGGCTGTGGGTGAAGTCCCAGCTTGGTCAGTGCTGCCATTATCATGGCATCAAAGTGGTCTTTCAACCATAGAGGATTCTTTTAATCATCTTAAGGGGGCACCCTGTCCCTTTCCCTGCTTTGCTCTCTGCTCCCTCCCCACATTTCAGTGGATGCACAGCCCCGGATATGCTCACAGAGCAGTTTCCCCCTCGGTCCCAGGGGACGATCCCGGTTTTGCCCTTTCCCACGGCAAGCATCCCAGCTGGGGGCCAGCGAGCAGCAGCACAGCCCCCGTGCTTTGGGGACAGCCTGGCTGCCCTGGCTCAGCCCATCCCCTCTGCCACCTGAACACACAGTCACAGTGGCCAGTCAGTGACAATTCCTGTCCCCTGTCCCTGCCATCGGGCTTTGCTCAGTACAGGACAGGGAGCCAGGCTGGGACCAGGCTCACTGCAGTGAGTCCCAGGAGCTGTGAGAAGGGGGAGCTGCTGCCCCAGCCCCAAAGTGGGGTGTGATGCTGCAGACCCTGTCCCTGCCCAGATGACGCAGTGAGGACACGTCTGGCTTGTGCCTGCAGCCCTTCTCCTCCACAAGGACACTCATTTCTCACCTGCACTGATTCCTAAAACAGCAGGAACAATGCAGGGATGCTCACTTCATCTCTCAGCTCCAACCAGGAGCACCCACAGGCAAGTGTCCCCAGTCCTGATGTCTGCTTCACCCAGTAACAGCATGATGAAGGCATCTGAGCCAAGGCAGTCCAGCCTTCCCCTGGCTCCCCCAGCTGTTGGAGAGCTCTTCCAGATGAAAGAATGGCTGGAGCAGGGAGGGCAGTGCAGCTGCTGTGCAGGGGCCCAGCACAGATATAAGTTCCAACACACTCCCCACAGATATAAGTCCCAACTCCTCCTCTCTGGCCCTGTCAACTCCCGTTAAAATTAAGACCATCTTAATTAAAGCTCCACAGCCCAAGACAGCAGAGGCCAGTGCTTCATGAAAAGGGAAAGGATAATTAGATCAACCATCCAAATTCACTCCCCCTAAGCACGGGGGAGAGCACGCTCAGGAGCGATGCACAACGCCTCCAAAAAGACATGTCAAAACAGGGAGCTGGAAAGACCAAAACAAACCCTGAGAAGCACACAAGCACATTCTGCATGTTCATGTGGCTAAGAAACTGGGAAACTCCAAGCAAGCACACTGAGAGAGCTTGAGCTCTCCCAGCCATCACAAGGTCAGCCCCTCCATGGGCAGATTTTGGCTTGCTGGGGTGATGGGCAGTGGTTCTGCCAACATCAGTGGCACAGAGAGCTGCAGGCTGTGCCCCCCTACCCCCACAGCACCCCAAAACCAGGCAAAGGCAGGGGCATCCTGACACTGGGCACCCCCAAGCACCATCCTGCATAAAGCCACAAGCCTTATCTCCCTGAAACAATGCAAGCAGCTGGGTGCAGGAAGCGAATGTGCTGCAAGTTGTGCTTGCTGGTGCTGAGATGAGCACTCAGTTTTGAGCCTTTTCTGCACTGAGAGATGTGAGAAGGGAAGGTGGCCCTTGCCACACCTTGTCACATCCCTGTCACTGCGCTGCAGCAGGCCTGGGGACCGACAGGGACCATCTTTGGATCAGTCAGTGTGTGGGTGCACTGTAGGGGCATCCAACAATTACAGAAGGGAACACAAAGCTTTCTCACCCTGAGGGTGGTCCAGCACAGGCACAGGGACTGGAGGGGTGGTGGGAGCCCCAGCAGGAGATGCTCAGAGCTGGCTGGGTGCTGTGCAGCCTGACTGTGCCCCGGGTCAGAGCAGGGATGCCTCCCAGTAAGTACCTCCCAGCCTGACTCAAGTCTGCACTCCAGCATTCCCATCAGGACACCAGCCAAAGCCAGGAATTGCCCAACCAGCTCCAGCAAATGCTTTCCAAGGCACACAAAGCCCTTGGCCTGCATTAACCTGAGCTGGCTTCTCCCAGGCAGGTGATGAGGGCACAGCTCTCCTCCTGCCAAGTCTGGGAGAAGGAAACTGAAAGGAAATGCTTCCAAGGGCAGGAGTGCCTGTGGGGCTGGGAAGAGACAATGCTGGGCAGGGAAACTCTGATATCAAGCTGGAATGGCACTAGGAGCTGGAGCTCTTGGCCACCAGGACTGCCTGGAGCCATGGGGCAATGCTTCCCCAAAGCAGCCCTGTGGCTCAGCACTCCTCAAAATGTGCCCTTTTAACACTGGCCCCTGGGCATGCTGGCACCTCTGAGCTCCCACTT